TTTAATAGTATTACAGTACAGATAGACAGGAAACACAGGGAGAGGCAAGGGGGGTGGAGGGGTGATGACACTCGACAAAGGTCCTCAACCAGAATTGAATCTGGAAAGTTGCGGTTACGTGGTATATCCCTAACCCTGTAATGGATTATTTTTTATTGTTGCTTTAACTCAATAAAAGATCTCAGAGCTTGTTCCACTGCTGCTGAATTACTGTACATGCTTCGTAAACCTTGTACAGATTGCTTGGTAAATCCTGAACTGAACTCCGGTCGTGCCAATTAAACACATTTGACTGTAAATTTGAAATCTTAGATGAGGACACTAAGAAAAAAGAAATGTGACAGTAGAGGTGAGGAGAAATGGAAAACTGGTAAAAACCATACACCAGTAACAGGAGTGGACTAAGGGGTGATTACATAAATCACCAAATTGAGGTCATATCCTTCTTCAAATGTCTTCATCATGAGTCATCGGGTGTCACAAACTCTATGTCAATGCGCGTCTCTTCCCCACCACTCTGCAGCCGTAGGCCTTCTGAGGGAAAACGACAGAGAGAAGCAAGACAGTGGGGTAAGGAAGAGAGGAGAGAGTACATTTTCATCCTCCTCCTCCTCCTCCTCCTCCTCCTCTTCTTCCTCCACCACCTCCACCCTCTCTCGGGGTGTCACGTCCTATTTGTGTCCCGGGGCCGTCTCTCTGGCGATGGTGATGGCGAGAGGGGCTCTCTCGCTTGGCTGGATAGCAGGGAGGACTTGGTAGCACGAAGCGATGGTCTGTGCTCACATGGGGGGAGAGAGGGAGAGAGAGAGAGAGAGAGAGAGAGAGAGAGGGAGGGAGGGAGAGAATCAGCAATGGAGAGGAATGGAGAGAGTCAGAAAGGAGGAGAGAGAGAGATGCACCCGTTCAGCCATGTCTTTGACAGGGGAGTCTTTCCGACAGGCGTGAAGAAAGGAAGGGCTGACTGGGCTGAGTGAGCTCAGCCCTGGACACACACACACAAACATGTTTTTGTCACTTAAGAGGACATTGCATTGACTTATATTCATTCCCCCAAGATTTAACAGACACGTCATGACCGCTCCATGCCTAATCCGACCCGTAACCATAACCTTAACCAAAATGTCTTCACTATAAAATGTAATGCTTTACCTTGTGGGGACCAGCTTTTTGTCTCTAATTAGGAGGTGAGTCCCCATAAGGCAGCTTTTTGTGACCCCACAAATTGAGTAATATGTATACAAACACACACACGCACAGAACTATTCTTAACGTTTCCCGTTAGTTTCAGTCCTCTCTCTCACATGCATATACAGTATATAGAAATTTCTCTCCCTCTTTTTGAACATCATCATCATCAATAGCATCAAAATGCTCAACATGAGGATGTTGCTCTATTTCGCTCTGGAATTTTCTCTCCTCCATCTTTGCCATTTCTACCCTCCACATTCTTCCCTCCATTCCTTTGCTGCTGCTGCTGCAGTGAGAGAGAGAGAGAGAGAGAGAGAGAGAAAGTGAAGCCACATAAGGTTATACACAGTGGCGTGACGCCATGCATTCTGATTTATAGATCTAAAATGGCCGCCGTGTTGTGACTGCTGTAGAGGGCTGGATGGAGCGCGAGGGAGTGGTGCGGGGGTGTATGTTTGCTCGGAATAGCAGACCTTTTCTTGGACTTTGTGTTCTCCTCGCATGTAGCATCCTCTGCCCCGGAGGGTTTCGCTACTACAGTGGTTTGGTGGTGATGACTGATTAATTAGGCCATGATGTACAAAGCTCCACGCTTGTGTCGGCTGGTTCACGACAGTGCTGTTGGATAAAGGCAGGGGAAATGGGTTCTTCTAACTGCACACTCTTTGCATTTGAAAGGTAAATATGTCCACGCTCATGACGCTGGCGCTCCATGTTGAGGGCTGCGTTGTGCTGCAGTTTGGTTTGTGGACACTGGGTCCTTCCTGCAGGGAGATTAGAGTCCTCACATTGTAGCGGCAGCCACTGAGGACTTAGAGGTCAGCTGCTGCCTCAGCCTCTCTGTGGGGCGCGGAGCTTTGATTTACTGACTCCACTGCATCACCTCTAGCAAACACACACACACACAAACACACACATATACAGCTAGTACCACACTGCCTCCATGTGGACAAAAGTACACACTACCCTGCTGCCCTTCACTGACATTACTTCCTCTTAGAAATTAGTGGTCATACATTTTTAGATAAATCATTTCCCTCTTACATGCATAACTCCTGCTGACCTAGTTAATAGAAGTACCAACTAGAACCAATCGGTTCTGTTTTTTTTCTTCCTTAGGTATTCAGCTCAGTTCCAGAGACAGTAAAAGATGTGTTAAGACATGTGGACTGTACCTCCTCGCTGGATTTTGCTTGCTTTTTTTTTTTTTTTTTTGCTCTTGCTTTTCATCTGGAAATCTCTATTAATGAACTTCCTCATGAGATACACAGAGTGGGAATTTCTCAACAAATGGTCATATAGACAGGTGACAAAATGAGGGGAGAAACATAGTTATTATTGAGGGCACTAAGCTCAGTTGCTTGGTACTTTTCGGTTTCATCAACCTGGGGAGATTTTACACAAACAATACGTAATACATGTGGAGGGTATTGTAAAGTCTGATTCCAGCATTTCTAGACCATAAATTTGTCTACTTTCAGACCAATGAATAAAGAGTTCCTGACATTGCAGGAAGCTATTTAAACACACACCTTCCAAAGCAGCTCGGGGTTACATTTGGGTGACTCCCTCATCGTTCACATCATTCAACAATTATGTGAATCAGTAGGGGATTAACAGTTGGAAGAATGGTGTTCACCCCTGCACTAGAATTTCAGAGACTATGCCAAGGTGCCTGAAGTTGAACTGGAGGCACCTGGAGATCCAGTTTCTCACTAAGGGACTTTCCTGTTTGTCACTCATCTATGTTGGTTTTATCCTTAAACCCTCATGATGATTTTTTTTTGTCCACTTGGTGGCAGCAAAACAACCTGTGAACACAACATTGTATCATCCTATAAAGTTGCGAACATGTCAGCAAAACAGCTAATCCAGCAAGCATGGACCATTTGGATCAATTAGGATAATCTTTTTGGCCACCTGGCGAATTTAAGTCCAATATTCGCGCTCCTCTTAGCTCAGTTTTGGTTTTAAATCCTGAGGGAGAAATCTGGCTCTTTAGCTGCTAAATGCTCTGCCATATTCACCAGCTAGTCTCTAACTTCTGTCTGTCTGAAGCGTGGTGCTGCACAGGTATTGTATAGTGGGTCTGTTAGAACGTTCTCACTGAAAACAGCTGCCTGCTGCTGCTGGAAACGAGGTTTGAGAGCAGTGAGAGTGAACCAAAATGGTAACGCTAAAACCTGCTCGGAAGGATTGCAGAGTTGAATTACTACGAACAACGTGTTTTACATTACACATACAGTAATGTGATGCATTGTTTATGTGAAAATATTGATTATTGCAGCTTTAAAGGGACAGCTACATCCTGGAACATGTGCCCAATCACAGTCTTTACATCGTCATGCCCAAGGATTCAAATGAAAGATGTGTATTTCTGCAGAACTAGCACAGGCAGTTCAACAATAAAAAGTGGATAATGCTCCACAAGTCTTTTGAGAAGCTTCATCAAGACATTTTAATACAATTTCCTGCTTCACAAAATCGTCCGCATGGACTCCGTCAACACCTCTGTGAATTCAAGCTGTCCACAGCCTCCATAAAGGAGCAACCTACAAACCTTAACAGGCAATTTTCAAGTACCACCTTAAGAAGAATGAGGCCGCCCATCCTTCAATACTCCCAACAATATCCATGACAGCATCATGCAGAGAGACAGGACGTATGCAGAGGCTGATAAGTACAGGCTGAGCTTGGATTGAATATATTCAGTTTCTGTACCGTGCTGTTTGCTGAATGTTGCCAACTGGGGCCTCCACAAAAGCAAAGCTCCTCCACGCTGCACACTGTTCTAAGGTGTAGCACGCTACGCGCAAGCTACTTGTTGCCCAGAGACAGTCCCAGTGCACCGAGAACTTGTTGTTTTGTCAGCTCTCTGGAGCACTGATCTAGAGAGGACTGAGCACTTGTATTATTAGATAGAGAAAACCACTCAGCACAGCAGGTCCACCTTTGATATATCTGTCAGGTGGAGGTGTTTAGAGTGTGTATGTGTGTCTGTGTGAGCGAGTGTGCTTTTCTGGTACGTTTGAAGCCTTCTCTCAAGGTGTTTAGAAAAGTGTAAGTGTGAAAGTGTCTTAAGGAGTTCTCAAAGAGAGCGGATACTCTTTGATGCTTTGTCCCACAGAGAGAGCCACAGAGGCAAGCTGCACTACAAAGATAAAAAGATGTTCCTTTCTTCTGTCACTCAATCACCCCGCTTTCTAGTTGAGGAGCAGAAACTCTTTACTGTATTAGTAAGAGGTATTGAAAGTTCACATCCAATACACCACAGAATAAAACAACCATTTAAGAGGCGTGCTCGTTCTGGGGAAGTTACAGCGATCGGAGAAAGTAGAGCTGAATCTGTGTCATGACTTCGCTGATGGAAACAGGTTTAAGAGTCTGAGCACAGGGGGATGCTGAATATCAGGAATATTTTCCTCACAGATGTGTTTCAGTGATCATGACCTTGAAGGTAGAAGGCTTTAACCCCGTTATCATTGATACAGAATGGTATATAAGCACATATAAAAATAGCTCTGAGTTTCCATGTGGAGATTATTAACTGTAGAAGAATTCATTCAGAATCTTGCACAATATGTACACAGGAAGTCCGATGTATATTTATACGGTTTGAAGGGAGCAGATTTCTAGAGAAACGTTCTCGTCTGGTGATTTAGTGAGAATTAGTCTGATACTATATTTACTGCAAAATGCATCCTGTTTCGTCCACATAACCGAATTGTTCTTTTTTTTTTCTGCTCATCTCTTCATTTGGGAACAACTGGATAGTAATTATTTCTGATTTATATGTGTATCTTTACCCCTAGGAGTTGGATAAAAAAGGCTATGGCCCCATCACAACAGAGATCCTGGAGGGGCAGCAGTTTTACTACGCTGAGGACCATCACCAGCAGTACCTGAAGAAGGTACCAAAGGGCTACTGTGGCCTCAAAGGCACTGGAGTCTCGTGTCCCATTGGAGCCAGAAAGGATGAGCTGTGAGACTGTGCGGTGAGAAAGAGGAGGATCAGTTGCTGTTCTTAATCTTTTATTTTTTTTAAAACTGCGTGATACACTTGTGAAATGTATCAATCGCTTTTTAATGTAACACCATATGAGTCAAATCATGAATTCATTACTGAGCCTCAGGGAATTTTCTGTTCTAAGCTGTCCGTCAGTTATGGAGAATACATAGTGTACAGTAAGGCAGTTTTATTGTGTAGCATGGTTTAAACAAAATAGCAACTTAAATTGTTTCATGTAAGATATAAAAAATGTATTAAAACAACTCTTAAAAGACGATAAGAATGGAAAATAAAAGCAGCTAAATGAAAAAATGCCAGAATGAAGCTGTTCCGTTGCTGTGCAGCAGGAGCAGTGTGTTGGGCTGCAGCAGCAGTCAGCTTCCATAGGGTGGCGACATTTCTCAAAAAATAGCAGCTCCAGTAGTCTTTTTATTTTTTTATTTTTATGTGACATACTGTAGCAAAAAGAAACCATGTAAACTCTTTGTCTTCCACAGTTGGTTGATTGGAAGAAAATCTACCAACCTTCAATGGTTTTCCAAGCCAGCAGCGTTTTCACACAACGCTGTGACAGAGTTCAGACTTTACTGTCAGAGTAAGAATCCTTAAGATTTTTTTCAGTGCAGATTTGAATATAATCATATGATTTTACTAAGTAGCTTAGTATAATTTGAACACAACATTACCAGCTTGAACATAATGCAGTCTTTTCTTTTCATTTTATTGTAAATAACTGATGCATGAATTTACTTCAGTAAAATCAGACATTTTCTTCAGTCTCACCTTGGAAATAATAAAACACATCTTGTCCAGATTTTTGCTAATGTTTCGGCATGTTTGTGTATGTGTGTCGGCATGTGTTAATTTATGCATGCATCTGCCCATGCAGCTATATATATATATATATATATATATATATACACAAATAAATGTGTGTGTGTGTCTGTGTGTGTGTGTTTATGAAAGATAAGGTTACTTTTCCCCAGCCTCATTTAAGAATGTACCTACCGTACAAATGAGGGACAAATGGCTATGACTCACTATGACACACACACACACACACACACACACACACACACACACACACACACACACACACACACACACACACATTTTGAGACTACTCATTCTGGATCACAGAATGAGACACTTGAGGCACTCATGTATGCAATATGATACACACTCTGCTTAAACACTCACTCCACCCCCCCAAACCCACAATTATGAATAAAAGTTCTATTTCACATCATATAATTACAAATCATAAGAGCACAGGGCAATTACTGAATAAGCATTGTGTGCCATGCCTTTTATAATTAAACACATCAACCTGACAGTCTATTTAAAAATGAAAATCACACTCATGGTTAGGTTCCAAAATACAGAGATGATATCTAGAAAAGCTTTTTGGTCGACCGCAGTAGTGTGATTCACCCCGCTCTCGTTTTTCCCCTCCCTCTCTTCTATCTTTCTTTCTCTGTGTGTATGTGTCACATCCTGACACCTGTGTGTAGGTGTGGACCAGGGCACAGGTGCAGGTGCAACCTCTCAGGGCCTATTTTAGTATTGGGACAGATATTTTTGCATGTGTCTGCATGCAGCAGCCGTGTGTTTGTGTGCGTGCGTGTGTGTGTGTGTTTGCCGGGGCATGTGAAGCTGTGGCTTGCTTGATCGAACCGCGCTGAGTGGTATGTGGTTGGGCCAGCTAGCGCCCGCCTATATTTTTGCATGCTGTTGTGTTTTGTCGAGTGTGTGAGAGCAGATAACCTTTTAATAAAGAGATCTTCATTCCCTCAGTTTTGAAAAGAGGATGGCATGAAATCTTTAATCGCATGAAGAAATCGATGTCTGCAATGATGTCTGACTTCAACAAGCGATGCCTCAGTGAAGCGCAGCATGATTCTGTTTATTTCTGCCACATTACAGAAAAGGCTAAGGTTATGAGTCGATTATATGTAGGAAGAGATCCGCTATGGAAAATTACCAAGTTTAATGCAGAGGCTGCATGAGTAAGTGTATGTTTTCTGTGTATTCCTTTGTAATAGATTAAAATGGGGGCATGGAAATGCATGGTACTCTCATATACGCATCCATACACAAACACAGTGAAGCAGGGCAGGACACGAACCAGGCTGTGTGTGCCCTCCAGACAGAGCCTATTGTTTGCAGATGGGCCTTTAGTGGCCCCACAGCTGGCCACAAAGAGCATACCGCTCCAGCTCGCTGCTATGCCTCTCACTGGCCTATGCTCAGTCACCCTGAAGAGAGTAGGCAGCTCTCAAGCACATGAACGCTACCATGTTCGTACGTTTGATATCTTCTTCTATTATACTCTTACAAGCGTGCTTTATTCTTCTTTTCCTGTCCTCCGTGTCAAATTCTCTGAGCCCCTAAAGAAAAATCATCGCCCGCTTATTTGAAGAAAAGAATAGCTTTGTGCAAACACATGGTACTGTGGAAGAGTGGGCTGAAACAGAAAGGTGTTGGTTGTTTATCAGAAGTACTCTGCACTCTTACCCACACATGTACACACACACACACACACACACACACACACACAAGCATACACACATACATAAACACACGTCCCAACCACTACCTCTAACTTCGTCCTGTACTGCCGCCTAATGCAAAAGGCAGCGCCCACGCACGAGAAACAAACACACCAAAAACACACCTTGCAGAGACGTGCACCCACACAAATTTCTTGCACTGTGATACGCTCTCTATTGTGTCCTCCTTTCACAGCGTTTCATTTATCTTCCCCATGACGGCTTCGGTAGATCTTACCGTATGTATATGTAATACATGTGTCATACCCTGCATGTATACATCGTTATAAGTAGCCTTGTTTCATTCCTCTCTAGCCGCTACCATAGGCAGCAAAATAATTTGTTTTTGCAGCACACCAACACGGCATTGTTTGGTGAGCCATATAAATAGAACAGCAGAGCGGTATATTCTGGTGTTGTCCTACCAGCTGGAGAATTGTTCTGCCTTCTTGTCCTGCTCCTCACATAATTACTTTTCTGGATCGTAGAGGTCGTAGGAACACAATTGGATATGTGTGTGGGAGTATATATCTTCTGTACGTGTGGTAGCAGAGGGGAAAACAGAGCTTGTATTTTTCTATACGTCCTGTACATCTCTCTCATGATGATATGAGGAGGAGGTGCAGGGTTTTGCAGATGCCAGATGTGTTTGCATGCCCTTCCTAGCTCTCCCTTCCCCTCCCTCTGGTTCCTGCATGGGCGCAGGGTCTCAATCAGAGCATCAGGGCTCCAGGAACCGGAGCACAGCAGTCTCTCTGTGCTGCCCAGAGAAGTGCAGCCTTGTCTGGGTCGGTGCATCTGCGGCCAGGGGGCGAGCGAGCGAGCTGGGGGAAGAGGGCGAACACTGGTGCAGCCGCATGCTGGTTTCACTGGAGGTCGCAGCCTGACCCCTGAACTCCCGGGGGAGAAAGACGAGCTTATTCCAAATACAGTAGATCTGCACATGGCTGGAGAAGCTCCCGTGTCTCAGTCATGCACAGGTTGATGACACATTCAAACTTTAAGACAAACCGTTTCCTCTAACAGCTTAGTTTGCTGCAACAATACCCTCATTAAAAACTAGAAACAAAAAAAACAAACAAAAAAAAAAAGACAAGCTCGAAAACGCTCACACATACAATACACAGGTGTGTGTTCTTTCCCATGGAGACAATGTCGCAAGCCTGTTTCTCCTTCCCACTGGGAATAGCGACGGGTTAAGGGTGGGGGTGGAGGGCAGCACGTGCTGCAGGGCCTAGTTGGCTTGCTAACTGGCCCACTGGCTTTCTGGCTGACGGCCCACACTGTGACACTCTGCACCTGGGAGCCTGTGAGTTGTCAGCCATGCTATAGCTAGTTCAAGCTACCACCACATGACACACAGGAAACACAGAAATAACTGCCTTAGTGTCTTCAGCGCAGTAACCACTTGCTGGGGGTGTGCTGCTGACAGAAAGGGGTTAAAGGAAAGTAGAAGACAGAGGAATACTGGCTGGAATGATAGCATGAGGGAGTAAGAATAGAAAACTGGAAAGGAAAGTGAAACACAAAGATGCTAAAGGCAGTTGCACCTGTGCTGGAGCAGGATCCCTCCAGACGCTGTGTTCAACTATATGGTGCATTTGCACGTATTCACTGGCATACGCAGTGTATCCTGTTGATCGTGTCGTTTTTTTTTTTTTTTTTTTTTTTATATAATCAAACCACGACAAAGATGATTGCACAACAATCAAAGTTTGACATTTTACAGCTGAGGCATTGATGTAACAGTTACATTTCCAAAACAATTCTCTCTCTGTCTCGTGTTCATTTTCTGGCTTTATCTGCTCTGTCCATCTGCGCCTTTGAGTTATCTGAGCCTCACCTCACACAGGTGTGAGAGTGGAGTCAAGTTTTAACGCCACCAGCAAGACCTCGATTAGAACTGAACACAGGAAAGCGTTGTGTAACATTTGGGCTTTCAGGTAGTAATGCGTTGATGTGTCACCATTCTGAAGAAAGAGGACAGAAACAGGACACACTCACACACAAACACACACACACACACACACAGTTTGCATTGCAACACGCACAAACAGCGTTTTTTTTTTTTGCTACGCTTGCCAGCTAATTTCTGCGAGTGCTGCAGATTGAATCTTGTGTTCAGCTTCTGATAAGAGCCGACACAAGACGACGGTGATGGTGGTGTTGTCTCTTTCTGACTGGATGCATGTTTCTGTCTGTGTAAGAGGGAGAGAGAGAGAGAGAAATGAAAGGAAGAGGAAGAAATAGATGTGGAGGAAATGAGTAGATAGAGGGAGGGAGAAAAAGAGAAGGGAGGAGAGATGGTGCTGGCTGCATCAGGAGGAAGCTGGGTCTGATGCTTCTCCATGCAGCTGCTCCCAAACACCCACACTCTTCCTGTTGGAGTGTTTGTGTGTATGTGTGTGTGTATAGATTTAGTGTCTTACTGCTACATGAGGAAAGAGGAACCTGAATTATTCCAGCACAAAAAAAAGTATATTCTCCAGACTTTAATACTCATTTTAATGGTTTTCAAAGACGCATAATAGAAAAAAGTTTTAAACCTTGCGCTGAGAAGACCAGATCAGTCGTCTACAGCCAGACAGAAAACGGGCTTAGAACTAAAGGAGTTCAGCGGTGCGGCTCGAAAGCTCTCCAAAAGTAACACTTCAGCTATTTTAGACCGCGTCTTCTGTAGGATACCTGAAGTAGGTTTCTCCCGCCCGGCCAAGGCCTTCTGTGTCTTTTCAAAGAAACGCTGGCCTCAAAAAACATCCGCTCGTGGAAACACTGGCCTGGCAGTCAGTGAATGGAAAGGTTTGAGGTGAGAATGTGGCCACACTGAGGTGTCAGCAGGGTGTGCAATTGTGTATGTGTGTATGTGCGTTTGTGTCTATGTGTTTAGCGGTCTTTTTAAGTTTCCATCACAATGAAATGCAAAGGACTTTTTTCATTAGCCACATTGCTGTTGTAACTGACTGGTGGGTTTTTAGGTGTTCAGGATGACCTCTGACACCAGTGCCCTCTGCAGATAGCACCACTAAGTTTTTGGCTTAACTTCCACTCAGTGTCTTGCACCATGCACAAGCTTTCAGCTGCAGAACTCGGGCGTCAGTTTCAGAGGAAGCTGGAAGCTGGAAACTAAATACTAAGTCCATGAAAGAAGTTAACAGCTGTTGTTGTGGACTGTTATTGACATTGCATTTGCCTGTTCTAATTTGAAAATATCAACCAATAACAAACTAAAGCCAGTTTA